GCAGGATCTGAATCGTTTCAATGTTCTTGTTGTCTAAACGATTGTATGCAAGTGCATCTTTGTAAAAAGTTTTTTTTTTTACTGGTCTTTAAAGAAATTCCGAAAAGAAAAGAATAAATTCCCCATTTTCCCTTGGTGCTGTACACCAGCATGGTCTTGGCTGCGTTTGAATTTATGCGCATTTTTTGTGAGCATAAATCGAGGATCATAAATTACTCTCAGAAATGCTTGTACATTATGTCAGATTGGCGCATGTAATTGTACATACCTAACATTGAAGGAGTGTATAAGAGGAGCGGAAGAGGACATACGATGGGTAAGGAGGAGAAGAGGAACAGGAGAATCAGTCTGTGTGCAGATTCAAGGAAAATACATTTGCGTGAGAGAATTAATGGTGAGTGACAGTAGAGAGAGGGAATTGAAGTGGAAGGACAGGGGTGAGGGAAGACATACGGATAATAATGGAGCGCAGCAACTGTGGAGAAAAGAAGTGAGTCTAGGCAGAGCAAAGGTAGACCAATACAGGAGGGTATCAAACCCATGTTGTGGTGAAGCAATGTGAATACGTTGTATTACTTGTATAAAACATAGTATAAATCTCCCAACTATTCAAATACCGACACTTGATAAGAGTGTTGCCTTTACACTGTTTTGATGAGTTAATAAAGCTACTGTAGCCTTATGAAAAATAAGTCATTTCAAGCCGATTGATGAACTCCATTAATGGGTGCAGCGTTGTTTTCAGGACGATGACAACGGGAGTGTGAGAGTTGAATTCTTTAAATTGAAACTGGAAAACGAGATTGTAATCGACTGCTTTTCCATTTTGCAGTTAAAGGGTAAAAGTGTTCCTCATAAAAAAGGATTTACATGGCTAGAGATATTAGGAGGCCCAGAAGCTGCTGTTACTTTTGCTACACCTGCCAAGCTTTCCAATCAATCAGCGCACGCATGCAGTTTCCAATGATAACGCTGATAACGCAAATGTAACACTCAAAGTGCGTGGCAATCAGTGAAACATTGGGCTCAGCTCTTTAGCTACCTATCTAATTAAACATGAAGTTGGCTGCAAACTCTGTTTCTGTTTTAATAATGTATTCAAGCCGGCTCTTATGATAATAAGAACCATGAGAAAGGCTCTCAGTATTTGTATTTGATGGCAACAATCATGAAATCATTATAACTGAGCACGATGTTAAAAAGATTAACAGGTGTCCACCTCACCAACCTATATATAAGACATGGGAGTAACAGAGCAGCATTGTTCTTGTATTGCATGGTTAAGCTAGGAGACCTGTTATGATCCACTATTTTAAGGTGGCAACCATGGGTCTGAAAAGTGAAGCAAATGCTTAAGTGCCTTTAATTTGCATTCTCTCTAATGGCCATCAGGGGGCTTTTTCATGCACTTCCGCATTATTTAAGCAGCAAGTTCGATATACTGGAACTTGAGAAAAAGTCTGAGGATCCCAGTGGTAATTACATCGTGGATGTTGACGTAAACAGTATTTACAGTCAGAAACCGGTATTTGTGGTGATTAACATATGGCATGAACACTCACTGTATAGAGAACAGAGGCTAGAGGAGAGGAGGGGAATTCCGGACTAATGGCTTTATGGAGATGAGCAGAGGTGCGAGGCGCACACAGAGCTGCAGAAGATGGAGTCGCAGAGGAGGCGAGCGTGGAGGGGAGATTAGAGGGTAAGTGGGAGCCTGGTAGTGTCAGAGGGGGAGCTTGCAGTTACAGCAGCCCATAATTGTTCGTCATGCCTGGGTCCCCAGCCAGCCACTGCCTAGTCGGCTCCCAGGAGGCTCTGAGATGTGTGTGTGTGTGTGTGTGTGTGTGTGTGTGTGTGTGTGTGTGTGTGTGTGAGTGAGTGTGTGTACCAGAGTGAGATATACAATTTGAAAGCCGGGAATAGGTCAGAGAGTGAAAGAATGAATTTTCAACCCAAGGAATGGGGTCACTGTGCATTTGTACTTGGTGTGTGTTTTGAGTGTGTGTTTTCTCTGAAATGCATATAATGTCTCCTGTTTGTTTGTGTTTCTTTATCACCTGAATAGAAGTGTGCAACTGCATCATGTATGGATCTACCGAGTCTGAGAGTTTATACACGTGTCCTCATGAATGCATGTCCTCATTTCCAGCCGAGTCGAGGTCAAAGGCCACGCTTTGGGGTACCACAAAACTCAACGTTGCTCCTTGAAAATGTTTAATTCAACCAGCGGTACTCGCTCCGTTGAGACTAGCTGCTAAAGGAGTGACGGAAGGAAGGAAAAATGAATGAGGACAAATATCTGGAAATACAGTCAAGAATGCCATCAGTTGTTTTTCAGTTATTTTCCAATTTGTTTTCCTCTCTCTTGTTATTCAGACAAACACCCAGTTTTGTTTTGTTTACCCAGGAAATAAAGGTCATCCAATATGGCTGCTGACACACAACTCCATCTAGGCTCTTTCCAGCATTCCATCACTATATTTTCAAATATCTGTGATTTTGTTTTCGACTTTTTAATTTATTTTTTATAAAGTAACTAAGTAGCACAATTCATATGACTAGCTTATAAACCAGGCCTGTATTTGAATATGTATTGAACAAGGTTAGTTTGTACCAAGACTGATGACAAATGTAACAGTGTTTTTGTTCCAACACTTAAGGATCAGATGAAATGTTGCAGCTGTTGTCGTTAGTTGTTGAGATCCTTTTAGGGTTCGTTTATTCAAACCAGTCAGAAACATTAACGTCTACGCTAGCTTTCTACAAAGAAGAACTGTCACATTTAGCTGACATTGAGAAAGATACAAATGACATACTTAGAGTACCGTTACTCACTAATTTTCAGATATAATCATGCTCTGAAAAATTTTATACCTAGGCCTTCACTGTTGCCCTGCAGCTGAAATACCACCTTATAACCACGCCACATGATGGCGCCAGAGTTATTAGTTTCTAAGGCTGTAACTGTGTACGTATTAAATGTACGTACCTATGTATGTACCGTTCGGTACAAGACTTACAATACGTTTGAATAGTACATTTGGAAAATGCAGAAGCTTATATTTAGGAAAATATAATGTTTTCTGCACTCATGGCAGACAATGGTTCTCAGCTGGTCTGGCTGTGGGACCTACCATCATTCCTTAATGACAAGTCACGGCCCAAAGAGATCGTCTTATGATTTTACTTTCACAACTTGAACATTGCACGTACTGCTCTGCAGTGTCTTTCCTCGTCTCAGCCCCCTGTGTTATGGTGTGTGGTACATTTCGCTCAGTCAGAATGCCCATATTTGATTGGCTGAGCTGCATCACGTGATGTGATTCACTACCCGACAGCCTCTGCTGTTAAGTTTCGTTTCACGATAGTCACGTGCTCGCCCACTGACCAATCACAGCACACTCTGCACCTCACGGCAGAGCTGCATGGACACTGAGCTGCACGTAATGCTGACGTCATTATAGGCCAGCGAGCAGGCTCCGACACTCAAAGAATACACCCAACATGTCGAACTAAAGATCTGATTGGTTGAACACTATGACAATGAACAATATCGTCCCCATTTACTTTAATCTGCACTGGATGCACCTGAGACTCTGCAGGCCTCTGCCTCTGTTCTTACCTAGAGACACAGAGGTGAAATCTGATTGGATAAAAGCTCTACTTAAAACAAGCTGCACTGGAAGCAGAGCAACTGAGGAAGACAGTAGCTGTGCAATGAGAAAATAAGATGACGGGGAAAATATTTTTATAAATTTTAATACATGTAGTGTATTTAAGAAAAATTATTAAATTATAAAATAGATATAACTTTGTGATTCTGTTTAGGCCAGCAGAGAAGGCCTTGCTGGCTCTGACGGCCCGCCACTGCTTCCATATATGGTACTAACAAACTTTGGTGACTGACGTCTGACATTGCAGTTAGCTAAAAGTAAACTATGTTTCGCACATTCTATGTAGACGTTGGACTCATTTTATACATTATATTAGGCTAACTTAACAGTTTTGGTTTACAGGCCATACCTGATCAAAGAAAGTCACATATCAAACCAGACATCTTGTACTAAAAGGTTTAGTATGACACATTAATTGGTTGAGTTTTGCTTACTTTGCATTTTGTAGCCGGGTTAGCAGGCTAGTCGGGTTAGTTCTCTCTCCAACTGTTCGCAGTGATACTTGTTTATTAAATTCACAGGGTAGAATTTCTATTATTCTCCCGTCTGGAGCCCAACGTGTATTTTGAATAGTTGTGAGAGAAACCTACGCTACACTACACGGACAGTTACACCCATAAAATGACGCTAACTGCTCTGCACTCTGGCTGCTTAGCTAACGTTAGCTTCCCAGAGCGATAAGGCGAGTTGCTTTACAGCCCTGAATAGTGGAGGTTTTGATTCAGAGCTACAGTATGAACACAATTAGCTTAAAACAATTGTTAAATGTTTGTGAGATTCTATTCACTTCACAATAGTTTACAGCAATTTAAAATCAATCACTGACAAGCTAGCTCTCCGAAAATGATGCAACGCAGCTAGATAGTTGACGTGGGTAAACCCTCGTTTCAACAGCATTTAAGTATTCTACTCTCTAACTTATCAAACATCAAAATGTTAAAATGGTGTTTTTTTCTCGACAAAACTATCTTTGTCCAAACAGAATGAACATAGTCAGCAGCACGCACATAAACCAGAACAGAGGTTTTTTTTTTTTTTACAGTTTGGTGACAGTTCGCCATTATTCCTCTTTCTGATAGCGCCACACACTCTCTCTCTCTCTCTTTCTGAAGGACACTGGTCAAATCATTCTATAAAGGAGAGTCTATGACAGTTTGCTTTGATATGATCCTCAGAGAGTCCGTCTCTGCACGTATAAGGGAGTTGGCTTGTTTGCGAAAATGCCTGCGTTTGCATCATGGGAGTCCCTGCAGATTCCCCGTGTTGCAGTCTGCCTGTGGTGATAAGCAGCTGATGAAAGCTTGTGACTGTGTGTGTGTTTGTTACCTGCTGTGTGTTGTTGGAAGAGGGGAGAGGGTTGGAGACCATTGGTCCAAAGATGTCCAGTTCATCGCTGATTGGTGCAGCACCACCCGAGCCCCTCCCACCATCCTTTGGGGCATCTGAGAGAGAGAGAGAGAGAGAGAGAGAGAGAGAGAGAATCAGATTCTAAGACGATTTTTTTTTAGGACATTTGAATACATTTTTCTCATGGCACATATTTCTCTGTACTGAAAAAAAATTCACACAACATTTAACCTGCTGCTTTAAAGTATAAGAATTACAAAGGGAGTAAAGTCAGAAACGGAGTGAAGAGGGAAGGCACTGACACACGTAGGAAGAATTCAATTTGACCTTTACGTGCATACGCAAGGGTATTTATACAATTTAAGCATTTTCAAAACGCCTCGCAGAGCTCAATTTAAAATGACCACACTTGATAATTGGAACATCCTCAAGAAAAATTCTTATGACTGCACTCCTTCAGTACTTCGCTTCACCCTGAAAATGATTTCATTCACGCTTCTCCATTTGCCCCTGGAAAAGTAACTGTGTGTAGCTGCAAAGATATTTGACAATGTGTCACCCAGCTGGTTTAGTGTTGGGTGTCTGTATTTCATTTCAGTTGGATTAACAAGAGTCTAACATTGAACAACTCTAAAAAGGCACATCACGTCTGAGAGCTCCAAAAGCTCCAAAACTCTGAGACCGAATACACCTTTTTAACAGCAGACATTTTGAGATGTGGTTGCAGAAAGGGCCACAATAATTACTGATGGCTGCATTCCATTTCGGTGAGCCAGTTCCAAGGCACTGGTATTGTGCTTGCTTGACTCTCTGGCATGGCTTACTGTGGCATCCATATGGAACGGAGCCATGGTTATTGTTATTCGTTGCGTCTTTGTGTTTCCTGCTCTAACAAGTCAGAAGGTCTGCTGTGAATGGGTCTATTGTCCGTGCTGGCTCACTGACATTGGCGTCTAGGACGCAGACTTATGACGCCATCATAAGTGAGATTATCAACAACTGTTTTTTAAGACAAAATGTATGCTGTGAAATTTTTTTTTTAAAGTCACAAAAAAAATTGTTTTGGTGCGAGTTGTCTTTCTACCGAACTACACCAGCAACCGCATCACCGCAAAGCATGCATGTAGATGCAGGTGAGCTGTAATGTTAGCTAGCTCAGCGGTGCTACGTGAGCTAGCAGTGACAAATATAGATGCATCCTACGGTCGATATCTCCAACACTCGGCAACTCACACCAAAAAAAATCTGGATTGATAAATAGCACTCCAGGTCAGAGGAAAGATACAGTATGTAGTTATGATTTTGGGGGTGGACTGTTCCTTTAAGCTCTGATACACTACCCCTTGACTTACAGGATAGTTTACCATATTGTAATTTTACAACTTAAATTGATATTGTAGTCTGTTCATGGAGTTTGATATTTACTTATATTTATATACAGTATAGTTCAAGAAAAAGTCCAACCTTTTGAGAAATACTTATTTAATATTTTGCTTTCCCAGAATGAGATGTGGAGATCAATCGATATCAATCTCCCAATCTGTGTGTTATGCACAGAACCGGGATGTGGTTAGCCTAGCTTAGCACGAATTCCGGGTGGGTGTAGTCTCTTGTTCACCTCAAAAATGATATATTATATATATAAATTATAAATATGGCTGATCTTTAAGCAGTTTAAAACTACAGTATGGAAAAAAACAGCACACACTGTACGGTCATCTGAGAGACAGCAAGAGAGAGACGGTGATGGAGAGGCAGACAGAGGGGAGGAGAGGGAGTGTGTGAAAGGGAAGAGTGTGTGTGTAAGAGCCAGCGAGCAGCAGAGGTCATTTATATAACCACAGTGCTGAAACATCCATAATTTAGCCCTTTTAAAGTGTGAACAAGACTGAGCTCCTTTAGCCAGACAGCAGGGTTACAGGGAAAGCCTTTCACTGTGAGCAGGCTGGCAAAGACCACTCACCATCCTTCTGAACCACTTACCAAAACTCATTTTCAAAGAACTACTTTGACGGCAACACCTTCCGCCCTAATAATTAAACATTTTTGCTCTCCATCCTTCTCGTGATGCCTTTAAGCTGACCGAGGCAAAATTGTAATATGTTGAAACTCGGCTATATGAATAAATTGTACTTGACTGTATGAGCTTGGCTTTTATTTTGGTAGTTAAGTCACCTTGTAAATTGCTGCTTGAAGCCTATTATGATTATTACTTTAGGGGCCGACAAGAATGACGGGTGCCATTCTTCACGTTTTCAAATAGACGAGAGAAAAAATAGGATTTCAATTACCCTCTTACCACTCTACTACCCCCCCCCTTACAAAAAGCTCATTCACTCATTGCCATGGAAATGAGCCGGAGGGAGAAAAAAAGCAGCCATCATCATCATCATCATCATCATCATCATCATGACTGCCATGTCGGGCAATGAGCCCACCGTCCTTTTATTACGGGATGGAGCCGCTTCTTGAGAGCGCTCTCAGCTTCACCATGGAAACAGACCCGTGGTTCAGGGTGGGGGTGGTGGAGGGCTGGGGGGTGTTTTATAAGCACCCCGAACCCCTTTGCCCAGAGTACATTTGCACGCACACACACACAGAGACACACACACACACACACACACACAAATACAGAGCTTCCCAGTATCTTCAATGAATACAGCGACCTCATTCAGCAGTGGGAGGCTGTCACATTAAGGACTCGGCCGCCGCAAAAGGGGGTAAAATATCAGACTTGATTAAGCCCTGCGTTGATTCTAACGCAATATCCTGATTAGATTTCTCACAAACACGTTTGAAATTTGTTTTTTTTCATCCACCCTGTTGACTAGGAAAATGAACGGGACTTTGAAGTATTGGTACCCAAAAGAAATATGAGAATTCAGCCCACTTTCCCCCCCCCCGAAACACAAGTCACAACTAGGGCATGAAATGAAGCTCGCCCGCTCCCCAGCGAGCGATTCTGGGAGCGGGTGAGTCCAGATGGTGACCATTATAGAGAGGGAAGATGGATGCTACTGGTAAAATGTGTTTACAGGTGATAAAGGAATACGCGGTGATGTTAAATGGTGAACTGATGTGATAGTTGTGATAGTTTATACTGTGATGTTGGTGTTTTGATGCATATTGGAAAGTTGAACAATTATGTAACCAGTGAGCATTCGATGCAAACAAACTTGCGGACAAATTTCTTTGCAGTCAAGTCTGCACAAAGTGAGCAGCTGCCCTGCGGGCCCAGACTGCCAGTGGCCCCAGTTTCACTGCACATCATCAATTGATTTTAGCAATTTGATGAATTGCTAAATTCAATTTGCAGCACTTATCAACTAAAGCAGGTTCTGCATGATTACCTTATCGTGTGGCCCTGTCATGTATAGGGGGTAGCATATCAATTTCTAACACTACTAACTTTATCATAATAGTTAATGTTAATATTAAGATAATATTCCTAAACTTGGCAATGTTGTTGTTGTAATGAATGTAGTGGTGTTTCTTCAAAATACCACAAAACATTGTTCTCCTTTGACCATTAATGGCATTAATGGTCAAAATAGTTTTTCAGGTCAGTGATTTATAAAGATCGTTAACTATAAAGCTCAAGAGTCAATCCTTTCTTTGTCTTGTTGACGGGTAAACAACAAAACTGTGCTGCACAGCCAACATCTGGTAAGGAGTGGTGATGATACAGCCTTGTTAAGCAACCCGGTCTAACACCATACTCGTCAAATACCAACGATTGGTCGGGGCGGGTGGATCGGTCAAACAAACACAGGACTTTCATCCAGGAGACCGCTGTTCCTTCGAGTAACTCTTTCATTGTTGCACTGAGAAGTTAGTCAAATCAATACTTTATGATTGTGAAGCCTAAACATAAACAGAAATGCAGCTTAGTTTTGATACTGTGAAGCAATGTTGTCACGATTTGGCCGCGGGTTTGTTTGTATCGTGAACGCGTGCAAGGACGGGCAACATGATACACGTTCCCGTCGCCAGTTTCCCACTGATCCCCTGAGCAACAGTTGGTGCCAGTAATGGTTCAAGAAGCACAGCAATGCACGGACAAAGAAGACTGCTGGCGAGAACACATGGACGTAAACAGTGCATGATGAAAATATTTGAAATAATGGGCTTTGCCAATGTAGCCCATTTAGCGTCTTAGCACGTTGAGCTTCATTGTTTTGGCGCACACAGCTCTGTACATTTTCTCCCATTTTTCCTTTTTTTGTTTGAAAAAATATCACAAAGATTCGGAATAAGATAAGTCAATGGAAACAAAAACTGAGCAAGAAAGATGCCCTGTCCCTGGTTGCAACAATACAATTTGTCTTTCACCCAATAAACTATATCAAGAGAAAGAGTAACCCAAATATTTCAACCAGAGGTAAAGATACGACCAAAGCAAGGACAGCTGCTGCTAGAATAGAGACAACATGGAGGAAGAATCCTGTTTACTCTCTCCGTCTGCACTCAAGTGTCAATTCGGCGTGTCAGGAACATTACAGCAGGGAAATGCCGAGGTGGAAGTGAAAGGGACATGGAGACAGAAACAAACAGACAGGGGTGCTCCATCAATAGACGTTTTCATGAATTGATTCAGTGGCTCCTGAAGAGATCTATTTTTGGCTGGATGGAGCATCTCTGAGAGAGCATTTATCATCAGGGGACAGCAAAGCTAAAAAAAAACTAAAACCTGAAATATATACATACATTTAGTTTTAATATTGCTGTGGGGAAAAGACAGCCTTTAAATGATGATAGATAATCATAGAAATAGAAAAGCAAATATGTTTGGCAAACCAAGGAGATAAAAGCAAGGACGGAGAGAGAATTTGTGTAAAAATGCGTATCTGGTCTCACAATATTGTTTATGCTTTCATTCCAGCACAGCCTGCTAAACTGAATTAGACTGAACAGAGGAGTTGACAAGAAACACAGAGTAAAATAACCAGAGACACGGTTGGATGGATGGAGGAACGGGGTGGGGAAGTGTGAGTGCTGAAGGCGTACTGCCACGAATTTGACTTATCGATTATGTGTGAAATCTCATCCACTTGACGTGGCTGCAAGGTGTGTAGCATTGGTTATTTATTGCAGCGCGTCAACTCTCACTCTTCCATGCTGCGGCCAGGAATATTTGATCAATGCCGTATCCACCGGCTATTTCTTCTGTCAGCGCAGCTTACCCCCTTGGCCGAGTCTAATACAATACAGCCCCGTATACGGAAAACAAGGTGATCAGATATTACACATTCCTGGTGTAAAAACCCGAACCAACCCCAACTGGCTGTGTTTTTGCCATCTGGCCTAAAAACAAGCACGGAGGACAATGTCCAAGACGCATGCTGTAAACTCAAAATGTCACAGGTTTGAGTCCAGCTTGTGACCTTATTTGAATGTCATATCCTCGGTGCATTCGGCTATTCTGCTGTTGAACTGGACACAAATGCTATTACAGGAGATTAACGATCAGTTCTCCCTCCGATCCGACAGATACAGCTACAAACTTCCCCCCCAAAAATATTGTGGTTATATAACACTTGATACCATGTAGTCTATCATTTTAATGAAGAATTTTAATTTTTGATAGCTGTCAGGGCAAAAGAAAAATCTCTTGATCTTTATGAATAAAGACTTAATAGTCCAACAATGGCATCAGTGCTAGAATTTCTTTTTTTTCTGTGGACTGCCGTTTGGAAGCCTTGAATTCTGCGTTTTGGCCGTCACCATCTTGGTTTACGGGCGTCGCCATCTTTACTTTTTGGAACCAGTGAATGGAAGTTACCATATTTGGAATGCGGAGGAGTGACAAAGAGATGTATATGGCTCTGGTAGCGGTATATATATATATATATATATATATATATATATATATATATATTGAAGTAGCCTAGTAGTAGTAACAACGTCTCTGTGTAGTCAACAACTGTCAAATCAAATGAAGAAAGTACACATCAATTATATTTGAACAATTATTATTGTCAGTTTTCAAATTTAACTGAATGGATTATAAATAATACATAGAAATACAAAAAATACATGTTCTCTCATTTCAAGTAAAATAAGAGCTGCATTAAAGAATAACTGACATTTCAGAAATGTGCATCTTAAAATAAAGTAATTCATTTTAGAAAAATTAATTTCACCGATTTGCCCTGCAGTTTAAAATTCACTTTATTCAGGTGTGAAGTGATGTCAATCAAAAAGCCACATTTTTCTCATCTTCTAACAAGATAAATTAGTGTGCATGATCTTTAACTGTGGTTATTAAACCACTTGTTTCAGCTCTATTCTCTCTGTTAACATCACTGTTGGTCAGTGAATTCATGTGTTAGGATTCTGATCATATTGGACTCTTATGCTGCGTTCAAACCAAACGCGTCGCGAATTATTCGCGCGAGTAGATTACATACAAAGTCTATGCACAGGCGCGAATTTGCGATGGCGCGGCGCGATTGACGCGAATCGAACGCGTCAAACGCCAAATCGCCCCAAACGCGCGAGTTGAAATTTTTCAACTTCTGCGAAATATTCGCATTACGCCCCGGAGCCTATCAGCGTTGAGTTGCTCCCCCTGTCATCAGTGACATCCTGCCGTTGTTGAATCAGGAAATAAATACTGTAGCCGTCTGTGTTCACCCAGAGCTCTACGATCAAATCGGCATCATTACGTAGTTATTTCGGAGTCCCTTTTTGTCAGTTTATTGCCATTAAATCACAGCCAATTCAGTTTATTTTGTGTACATACAGCTGTAGTAAACAGCGACGTGTGGCTTGCTAGACACATTGAATACAGCTCGATAAAATCCATGGAGCTCCTCTGGACAATGTTATGAACCAGACATGACGGCGTTTAGTTTCCCGGGATATCTGTGACTTCCAAAACACGTACTAAGCAGAAATACGTTATTTTTTCATGGTTAATGGCGGACAGTTGAACGGCTTTCAGGGCGATAAGCCGCGCCCCCTCTCCGGCGCTTCCAGCGCGATTCGCGCGAATGAACACTTGGTCCCCGGCGTTTTGAACAACGGCGCGATGGACGCGAATATTCGGCGTGATGAATTCGCGACGCGTTTGGTGTGAACGCAGCATAAGGTTTATTTTCTGTGCCTTCATTTCAGATGTGAGTGGGTACATTTGCTCAAAAGAGTTGTGCTTTGTCTCGTAGTGACGCTTCACATTACCGCTTTTAATAATCGTCACGGTCTCTGAACATGTGAGACCTACTGGTTTTAAACTGTCCGTGGGAAGAATTAACCTGAAAGAGTCTGTTCATTCTTGGTTAAAGATTCTGGTCTCGCGGACCACTTTTTTCTCGTCATGTGAAATAACTTCTCTGACTCACGTAATTATTCTTCTACTCTTCGTCCTCTCTCCTTGTCTCTCCCATGTGTGTATCTCACTCGATTCAGGAAACTTGTTAGAATACCCATATTTGATTGGCTGAGCTGCATCACAAGCATCAGGCATATGCTTCCCGTAGCTGTTCCTACCTTGTGTGAATAAGTTAGTCTGATGGGCAGGTGGCATTGTAGCTCCTTCCGTCAGTGTGTGAATGGGTGAATGATGACATGTAGTGTTAAAGGGCTTTGAGTGGTCGGAAAGACTAGAAAAGGGCTGTACAGGTACAGTCCATTTACTCAAGGGAGTAACTGGGTTTAAAATAGAATTTTCTTGTATATGTTCGCCTAAAGAACACAATCCTTTCCTTTCCTTTTTTGAAATAGACCTTGAATCATAATTAGAAAGTCCGGTACATGACTGGACCATTGGGTGGATTTAACTGTAGTCTGCTCACAGTTGTGTCAGACATGGCGGCCTGAAGCCACCGATGATGTATTAACTGCCAGGAGGTGTGATAAGTCATCAAAGTGGAACAAAAGGTCTCGGCACATGACTCAAATAAATCCTGACAGCTAAGCCTTTCCCTTATAACCTCACACATTATTCAACCTAAATTATTACAATGTCAATCGAGAAATGTTATTACATCAGCCAGCGTGATTGGTTTGATTCAAACACCTGACGCATTGGGCGGTCGTGTGAGTGTACAGTTTGATACGTTATTATATTGTACGATGGCAGGAGGTCGGTCACGTCTTACCCAGGCCCAGCAGGTCCACGGCCAGCTCTGCGCCTTCCTTGGGACCGGCTTTACACTCGGACTGCTGTGAAAGACAAAGAGAAAGGTAAAAAGAAATGATTTAGGATGATGCCCGATTTGCCACATTTTCTGTGCGCTCTCAATTTTGCATTATTATAGATTATGTGCAAGGATTTCACCTGTCTACTTGAGTTTCGATAGAGAAGACCAATGCTGAATTCTTAAACGGTATATTATATACGTAAGTCTATTAGATAGTCAATGTCCCCCACTGGCCTTATGCCTCACTATGTATACAGTATAAACCAATTTCCCCTGTAGATTTCATACGGAACGATTTGATTTATCGAACCCAATGAGTAGAAGTTTGGGATGACGGTGCTTGATCTAAAGATAAAAAATAAATCCATTGTCTTGGGGAACCTGGGCTCTAGTGCATTGTTCCCTGTTCTGTTATGCTTATGGGATGACATAACATTCCTACTAATAGTTTCATGCTATTCCACTGACAGTTGGTGGCGGTTATGCACCAAGAAGAGTAGCAAAAAGAACCTTAGTGAAGAAGTCAGCAAACAATTGCCTAGTTACACAAACCCAGAAGGCATTGGAGTGATGTTCCTGTCCATCCTATTAATTTAAGTCCAACATTCACTTTCCTTCTAGCTCGGTTTTGGTCTCAACCAACACCTGAGGGAAGTATCTGGCTCTCTAGTTGCTCAATTCTGTTCTGTAGTGTGCAGTACATTGAGCTTATCAGATACATTGTCTTTCTTTTCTTTTCACGAAGTTTTTTAATGAGTTTTCAGAAAGCTATAAACAGAACAGCACAACATCGACAGATAATATAGTAGCTTATGCAAAGTAATTAAAGATAATAATGGCCGTTAGTAGTTGTCTGGAGACATTTCTATATTCATACGAATATATTTGAATTAAGCATTCATGTGGTCGGTGTCACATCTCATATAAAAGTTATATTTCTTCCAGTTCTTATTAAATGCATTCTCCTCGACTCTCAGAATATGTCTTGGACAATTTCCAGCCACTGTTCCTGTTTCGGAATGTTGACATTAAGCCAATTTCTGGTAACGGCTTTCCTAATTGCTGCAAGTAAAACTTTCGTCAAGTAGAGGTCTTTTCTCATCACAACACTTTCAATGTTTCCAAGATACATCACAGGGCAGGTGTTTGGGATCTCTTATCCCAAAATGTTTTTAACAACATTAAGATTTTCCCAATATAGCGCTATCTTTGTACAATTCCAGAAAATATGCGAGTGGTCAGCCTCCGTGGTCCCACACAGCCTCCAACATTGTTGGACTGCAGCAAGTCGCCTGCTTTTTATTTTGTTTGGGTGTAATAAAAAAGTGGGTTCAGTTCTTCCAGCAGAGTTCCCTCCATACTAGTGAGTTTGTGGACGTACATTGTGTCTCACATTTGAAACGATTCTTCTTCCTGTTATTTGAATCTTTAACTCTGCTTCCCATGTTTCTCTTATGTAGAGTGTTGTGTACCCTCCCTAGCTAAAATGTGTCAGTGACTATGAGAGACATCTTTCACATTATTGCCACAGTATTGTGGCAGTTGTTTGCAAAACAGCTTGGAATCATGGATGGTCTCAAAACTAAGGATGTACGAAAGGTTAGACGGTAGTGCTTGTGCTCTATAGCTGAACTATAGCTTCATGCTAATTTCAGTCATTCATCTGCCCCATTTGGAACTAGCGCTATCCATACATAATTCAGTTTAGTCTCATTTTGTGAGTTTTTGCAATGAATGGAATAATAAAATGCATCAGACTCAGTGTCCAAGGTTTCTGTGTGCAACGAATTTTAGTGGATGACGGAGTTAAAAAAACAAATACGAAAAATACGGACTTGGTCAACAAAGGCCGTAGCCCATGCGGGATCAATGATACTTTCAGTTTTAGTAAGAACACTGAATGTAACTGTTTACAAGATAAATTAAACAGCTGTGCTTTTCATTTAGACACTGGACGGAACTTTCACAAGGCTGCTCGCTCTGCATTTTTCGTGGTGTACCACAACATTCAAGTCTGCTTGATTGTTTTACAGCCCAGAGCAGTATTTTTCCAAACCTAACAGAGATCTAACTGGAAGCTTTCAGGAGCTTCTGGCAATGATGCACAGTAGAAAAAATGTATTATTTTAGTAAATCAGTTAGCTGACAGAAAGAAAAGAAAAAATCGGTCAATGGCAATATTGACAATCTTTTAAGTTGTATATAAAATAGAAATATTTGCTGGTTACACCTTTCAGCTATTGGTCAGTGTTAAACTGCAACATCAATATTATTTCTGATAGGCAATCATGTTAATGGACTTTTTAAATTGAAAGTAAAAACAGGGAGCAGAACAGGGAAAAAAAGAGGTAGTGGGGGAGGAAAAGGAGGGAGTGAAAAACAAAAGGAAAGACAGATAGAGGGGAAAGAGAAAGAGCGAGAGATTAAAAGTCAAAGAGCAGGAGAATGAGACAGGAGGACGAAGAGGGGAGGGTGAGGTGAGATAGAGATATAGTGAGATTAGAGAGAAAAATGTGGTGAGAGAGAGCGAGAGAGTATTAAAGGTTAACACGTGGGCCATGAGAGATCTACAACGCTGGTAACAAACCCAATTTCCCCCCAACAAAAGATCGATGGACCACATTAAATTCAATGTCGTTCCAATCCAAGGCAATGAAAACAATTACTGTGTCCACGCCTAATCAAGAATGCATTGGCTATGAACTGATGTGTGTTGGGACTGCAGCAAAGCTCGTACAGAGGCCGCATGTGTAGCAGCAGGATTGTTGCATGTGTAGCAGCAGCAAAGAGGTTGGTCGGTGCTGTGCATGGACGGAACTGTTTAGGTCAGGAGAAACGGATTTTATGATATATTGTGGATTTTAGTAACATCCAACTCCATAAAGATTCCTTTCCGACCAAGCTACATATTCAATATTTTCTTTGCACAGCTAATCAATATGATTGTCCAACAATGTTGTTTCAGTCAGAGACACTTATGTCAAGGGATTGACCATTGGAGCAAACGGTGGTTGTATTATATTGCGAGAAAAAAGGAAAAGAAGGATATTGAAATACAATTATTTCTAGAAACTCTAAAAGAATCAGAGATTTTTGCAGTAAATCCCCTTTGCATGCAGATGCATATTGTATCTTAGAACAATACTAAAAGCACAGCACATGATTTTTAAAATGAACATAATGTAAATAGTTTATAAACAGAGTTGAATTGAACAGATCGGCCCCATTATCACCGATACCCAATCGAGCAAAGACAGTATCATAAAATCTGATTAAAGAATATATATATATATATATATATATATATATGACAATAATTAAATTTAGTTGGGATGCACTGATCCTTGTTTATACCCATTCCAACAATTCAACTCAGGGTGTCTGCTGACAGAGTACCTGTCCAATACCAGTGCCCTTTTTTCCCTCAAATTTAAAAATATTTGAAGGTTGATCTCTTGGAATCATTTTTCATTTAAAATAACGTGAAGCCAGGGATTACTGTGGCACTAAACACAAAGGCCCACAATTGCAAAATGAATGTGATTAATAGAGGAATCACTGAATATTACAATAACGGTGTTGATGTAGTGACATCCTGCCGATAGTCGATCAGCACCAGTACAGATATGTCAAATTAGATTGGTGCATCCTTAACCCGATACCTAACCCTAAGATTTAAAAGGAAACAACATTATAATAGTAACTGAAGAGTACATTCAAAAATCTTACAGCACAAATTCCAAAACAAAGACAAAAGACAAAGACAAAAAATTGTCCTCAGAAGAGCCAGCACCTCCATTAGGGGTATTGGCAGGGTAAGAGCAACAAGAATTGGAATTTGTATCTTTGGCATGCCGGTCCATTTGATTACCAACATTTCAGAACGTGCGCATCGTCATAAAATTGAGATTTCATAGCCTTTCAATGCTACATCCCACACAGCTGCTGTCAGACACGAGAAGAAAGAAAGAAGGAAATCCAAAATGTCAGACTGCATAAAAAGCTTAAACTCCCCGCCGTATGAGGGGATTTGGATAGACATGCTGCCAATATTGTTCTCGAAACACTCGCAGACACGTTGGGCTTTCTATCAATTATCCGGGATGACACCAACGGACGGCTAGCAACAGACGGCTAGCAACAGACTGGGATTAGGTGTCAGTTGTTTTTGATGACAGATAGAGAAAGTGTAATTGGAAGGGAGGCCAGCAATCGATAACACCCCCCCCTCCCCAACAGGTGAGTATACTCCAGCAAGGAGGGTGATGCCGGATTGAATGGAAACCATCGGGCAAACCAAAACCTCTGACGACTGCCGTCACATCAGGTCGCTGTCAAGAGCACACAGCAGACAAAGCCATCAGCTGACGGCTGTCACTCCGGATGTCTGAGTGGGGGGGCAAAGTCAGTCCCTGAAGTACTCAATGGAATGAAGTCAGGAAAAAAGAACAGGGTGACAGCGATGTACTGTTGAGTCTATTACCGTCTATTATCTCTTATCATACAAAGTCGACAACAAATACAATGGAATGCTGCATAAATGAGTCCTAACACACGGAAATGAGTCTGTATGTGTGCACTTCTGGTTCCCTTGTCTCGAAGTCAATGGTGGGCCCTCAGGGCCAGCAAGGCCTTCTTTGCTGGCCTAGACACCGACAGAATCACAAATATAGCTATTTTAAAATGTAATTATTTTTCATAAATACATGTATTCTAAATATGTTTCCCATTAGCTTATTATTTCATTGCACAGCTACTGTCTTCCTCAGTTGCTCTGCTTCCAGCACAGCTTGTTTTAAGTAGAGCTTTTATCCAATCAGATTTCGCCCCTATGCTAGGGCTGCACAATTAATCAAATTTTAATCGCGATCACGATTTTGGCTGCCACAATTAAATGAGCATTATCGTCAGCAATATTGACGTTTAAAATGCGTGCTCTGCTACATATCAAATCAAGCGCTTCCTCAACTAACAGTCAGCCAACCACCAGGGGGCGAACGAGATGGGAGGTGTCATGCGCGC